CTGAGTAGACCGAGATTACATTTCTTTCACCTGAAGTCCTGGACCCATGAAGACGACATTGCCATCAAAACTAGAACTTGGAAAGAAAATTGTTACATTTCTTGAATGCCTGTTTGCAGGCTGATCTTGTACCAGCTGCGGTGTTAGGCACAGGCCTCACCATTTTCCATGTGAACTCAGAATCTGCTGCTGTGCGTGATCATTATGATGCCCAGCTGTCCAGTGGCTTCTCTGCCTCTCTCTGCCTCTCCCTGCCGTGGGAAACATACCTTTAGTGGAATTCAGAGGCCCGTAGGTAAAGACAGAAAAATACAGTCTGCTCTTGACCTCCTTACATTTTTATATACAAATGAGAACACAGTTTCACATCCTATAATTTGTGTCTATATTATGGTGAAAACATCTGTGTTAGGAATTATTACACTCCCAGGAATCGATCTTCATAATCTTTCCACAAAGCCTGGAGAATGCTTTGCTTCTTTTTCTAGCTCTAAATTCTTTAAAATCACAGCACAACCAATCGCAGCATCCTGGGCTTACAGCTTCCTTGTCCTAATACTAGTAGTTGCGTGGAAGCTTTAATATGGTGCTTCTTTCCTGAGTTACCGCCTGGAATATCTGATCTCTCCTCATTGAATGATTTCTCTGGGTCTAAATAGCTCTGCTTCCTTTGGTGCTAGGTCTTCTGGCCAAGAGGCAGATTCCCACAGCTCCACATCAGTAGTTCAAGTTCCTAGAAACCTGTGTATAGTCCAGGGGGTCCACAGGCCCTCAGGTAGCAGATTGTTGCCTGGAAAGTTGAGATTGCAGGCCAGGTGATAGCAGAGTCGTGGGTTTAAAAACTGGCTAATTGTATGACCTTACCCAGGCTATGCAACAACTCTTTTTTTAAAAATTATTTTATTTTTTTCAATTATATATGACTTTGTATTTGTTTCAGGTGTGCAGCCTAGTGGTTAGACAATCATATACTTTAAAAAGTGTTCCCCCTGATATTCCCAGTGCCCAAATGGCACCATTATGCAACAACTCTTAACTTTCCTCACCTATAATAATATCCCACAACGTCTCTGACAATGAGATAATGTACACTGTGTAACCAGATTATTATGACCGGCCAGATTATTATGACCACCCCATCAGTACAATGAAGTGAATTAGTTATGCAAATAATAATAATAATAATAATAATAAAACCTTTGAGTATTTGCTTAGGAAGTTTTCAATATTCAGTATTTTTAGAAGTGTCAATGAAGTACTGATGGGGTGGTCATAATACTGTAATCTGGCCGGTCATAATAATCTGACCACTCAGTGTACCTACAATGCTTGGAATTTAGGCATTCAACAATAAAGAATTCCTTGCTTCTTTTTCTAAGCTAATATGGCTGGGTTTGTGTATTTAAGTATTGGGATTTTACAAAGACTAACGTCAAATCTTTTAAGCCATTTTATTATAGTCAGCAATAAAGTATTTATATTCGTGTTTATTCATCTGCTGATTCCCTATTATATATTTGTCACATTATATTGTAGCTGTCTGATTATGTGATGGGATCATGCAGAGTTGTAACTCTGTCTGTTACAGAAAAACCTGACAAGAACCAAACAGCGCTCTGAGAGTTTGGAGTTACTCTCGGAAGCTAAGCAGGGTCGGGCCTGGTTAGTACTTGGATGGGAGAGTTTGGAGTTACACCTGGCATGGCATTGGGTGTATCTAGTCTCTGGCCTACAAGGTCAGACAGCTAATTTATCTCCCCCATTATTCAGGCAGGCTAGAAAGCAAAGTTACTCTTTCAGAATAAGAGGCCGTCCAAAGAATAGCAGAGAATTCCAAACAGTAGTTTTACAGAATAGGGGTTTTCCTTCACATGTCTAAAATTCTCCCTCTATCTCCAGAACTTAAAAAGCACACGCAGTAAATGTTTAATAAATGAACAAAGAAATTACTGGATCCCTAATTAAGCATTTAGGTCACGGACTTAGCTAATGCCTTATGTCCCACGAGTGCTTTTAATCGAATACACATTTTCTGAGCAGACAGAATGCTCAACATCGTGTGTTCCGTGCAGTTAAGAGCCTTCTTACAATAAAGTATCATAATCATGTCATAGACAAGCACAAGAATGTCTATACCATGCATATACCTATAACATGGATAGAGAGAGCTCGAGCTGGGCACTGAGGGGAGAGAGAGATTACGCCTGGTTAAGAGGATTAAGACATTTCCACTGAGGGCTGAGGTACCACTGGGGCTGACCTCAGGAGAGGAGTGAGAGCCCAGCAGCAGTGGAGAGAGGATGCTCCAGCGGGGATTTGTGCCAAAGGCAGACAGTGCGATGGGCAGTCAGAGGGCTGCAAGTGGTCTGGTCTGAAGGACAAAATATGTGCAAGTTGGCCAGAGCTGTAAGCAGGGAGGTCTTGGAGGGCCAGCCAGACCGAGAAATTGATTCTCTTCGATTATTTTTCATGATAGTTGACATAGGATGTTATATTAATTTTCCAGTGTAAAACATAGGGATGCGACATTTATCCACCTTACAAAATGATCACCGCAATCAGTCTGTAAGCATCTATCACTGTACGTCGTTATTACAATGTTATTGACTCCATTTCCTACGCTGCACAGCACACGCCCATGACTTATTTTGTGATTGGAAGCTTGTGCTTAATTCTCTTCCCCCTTTTCCACCCAGAAGTGGATCAGGCAATGGGTGCTATTGAAGATTTAGAACAGGGTAGCTTCAGATTTAATGAATGTTTAGCAAGTGCCCTTATTTTACAGATTATGCAAAGGAGGCTCAGACGGATGAAATGGTTTGGTCCCTGATACTTCCAGCACAGGATGGGGACGCCTCTGGAAGACTCACTCTGCAGCAGGGTAGGCTGGACTGGAGGGAGAGAGACGGAAGCTAAGGGGGTTTTCTTAAAGTCACCTCGTGGGCCACTGCCACAAACACAGCAACCCCACACAGAAGGTTATCTGTCCTTTACCCAGCGAGAAGATTCAAACACAGTTTCCGATCTGATGTAGACACTGACCCAAGGCGATGGGAGGAGCCAGGTTGTGAAGCAGATATTTAGAAGCCAGACTGATGGGAGTCTATATTTTGAGGGCAGTGAGTGCTCTGGGCAGATTTGCGTTTCAGAAAGGCAATTTTGTCAGCAGTGTGGAGTCTGGGTTAGAGGCAGGTTGGGAGGCAGGGAGGTAAGGAGACTTCTGCAGAAATCCAGGAGGTGTGGTGACCACGTGAAGGTGGTGGTTGTGAGAAACTGAGCGGAAAAGGCAGGTGGAGAGACAGTTGGAAAGTGTATGAGGCAGGATTTGAAAACAGAGTTTCTGTTTTGAGCAGTTTGGTGCAGAGTGGGCCATGGACTGTGAGATGCAAGACCCGTTGATGAGGACAAATGTATAGGGCTAGGGCAGGGGTGGGCAAACTTTTTGACTCGAGGGCCACAATGGGTTCTTAAACTGGACCGGAGGGCCGGAACAAAAGCATGGATGGAGTGTTTGTGTGAACTAATATAAATTCAAAGTAAACATCATTACATAAAAGGGTACAGTCTTTTTTTTTTTTTTTTAGTTTTATTCATTTCAAACGGGCCGGATCCGGCCCGCGGGCCGTAGTTTGCCCATGGCTGGGCTAGGCAGTGGTATTAGGAAAGGAGAGATAAAGGCAAAGGGTGGGAGAGAAAGGATGTTAAAGCAATATGAGCAGAAGAGTCAGGAGGAGTAGCTGCTCAGGAGGAGTAGCTGAGGTGGGGAGAGGCAGCTGTTTGGGGAACTTTATTGTCTCCTGCCCCTCTCCTACCGGTTTAGATTTCAACGTTGTCATCAGGGTTAATCATGTGGTGCCATCAGAATGACTCTCTTTGCTGCTCCGATTGTTCCAGGGGGAGCAGGAAAAAGATGGCAATTACTGCTCCGTAATTTCCTCTCAGGAAAAGCTGTAGCTCCTTCTAAATGAATCATAACATTTCATTGACAGAGAAAAAAAATTGAACAGAATGAAAACAATCTTCCTTTGAAGACAAGAATAAACAAAGTCACTGACTGTAATCACTTCCGTCTCAGCTGTCACCACCAAAGGAGAAAATGGCCAGAAGATCATTGGTCCAGGAATAATAGGTGACCAACTGACCTTCCATGGTTTTAGCACTGAGAACCCCACATTCCACAATCCTTCAAGGGTCACCCTCCCCGGGAATAAGAGCGTCATAGAGGTGATGGTTAGCAGGGCTTACCCAGGAAGGGCGAACAGAAGCGTGGTCGGGGAGGTGGGGCAGGGCGGGGCAGCAGGAAAAGGGTGAGCATACAGTCCTTCGCCTGTGTATCCAAGGACTACTTGGGGCATTGGCAGAACAGGGAGGTCCCTGGTTGCCATGGTTTCCCTCACCTGTCAGTCTTAGCAGCAATTCTGAGGGGTGCAAGTCCAATCCTTCGAATCCTGTAGAAGTCTCTCTTCTTTCTGATCTTCATTAAAGGTGCCCTGTCACAGAGGGTCAGAGTCACCCCTCTTGGGTGGAGGGAGGGGGGAGGGAATAAGGGAGCCTGAGTCAGACACAACCCCCCACCCCCAAGAGCTCCCTAGCTCTCTCTAGTTACTGCCACCACCCTCTTAGACTTGGGCTCAGTGTTGTGTCAGTCTCCGTGACAACCCCCCACCCCCACCCCACCCCACGTGGTCGAGTCTCTCAGCCATGCCAGCCCTTCTTGCCAGGAGAGGTACCATGTTATATGATGGGAAAGCACTGGATTTTCAGACCAACTTCTCTCACTTGCATCTGCTCCATCACTTCCTGGTTGAGTGGACCATAAATACTTTTATAGCTGAACTTGGCGCTAACAGTGTTCTCTTTACCTACCTCACAAGGCTTTTTGGAGGAGTCATAGGGATCACTTATGTGAAAGGTCTTGGCTTAAAAGTGAAAAAAAAAAATCTAAGCATCTCTACATACACATGTAAGGTCTCAGTAAAGATTCTTTGTAACTGCCCACATGTTTGAAATTGATGACTTTATTGACACGAACGTTGCCATAGAAAGTGTTATGCTAATAGGGTAGTAAGAATCAGTTCCCATATCACACCCACATGAAAAAATTTCCAGACAAATTTCCAGTAACATTCCAGAAATGGTCTTGGTGACACCCAGATTGCTCTGCAGAGGGGCGGATCATATATGCCGTTTATCCCCTTCTGCCCCAGGAGTGAGAAACTGTCTCTACATCAAACGGAGACACGCTCTCAAGTTGATCAATCCCATGCAACATGGAGCAGCTAAGTGATGGAAAACAAGGCTGTGCAGAGAAACGAGGCTTAGCCTGTGGCTGAGAGCAGTGCCGGGTGAAGGAACACCCTCCACACACACACACAAGGCAGGTGGCCTGGGACAGTGAGCCCTTGAACTTGCAGGAGCGACGCCCACCTGTGGCAGTCGGGGCTCCTGCTCAGTAATGCCAGTGGGGACATAGGAGTCACAGGTTTTGCTTTTATTATTATTATTATTATTATTATTAAACATTTCAAAACATGAAGTTGCTGAAAAGCCCTTTCTCAGAGAATCAGAAAGTGACAGGCATTTGAGGAAACTGTCGTTTGGGGTATGGTGGAAGTCTTGTGTGATCGGGACACGCACACAGAGTTTAAGACGGAAACCTGTCCTGAATATACACGTGAGATCACACCGCAGGGCCATTCACAACACACGAGACCTCAGTGTCTCCGTCAGTCCCTGGTTATTAAGTCCACGGTCAGGTTCAGGATATAGGATGGTGACTGGCCAGACGCCCATCTCTCAGCATCTGCCAGGTGCCTGGCTCCGGGTTGGCATTTAATGTTTAATGAATAAATACGCAATCTACTGAAGGAGAGAAGGGAGGGAGGGAGGAAGTGACGCTGCCCGCTTGTGTTTGAGGAATAACAGAGTTGGCAGGTGAGGAGACAGTATCTGGACTGGGGCCTGCGGATGCCGGTTGTCTGGACTGTGCTGTATAAGCACACAGCAGCCGGCTGCCTGTTCCTGCCACACATGGAGCTTACTGGTATCATTTGGTACAACGTCAGGCCTCTTTCCCAAGCCCTTGCTACATGACTTTGGAGAAAAATACTCCACCTAACCATTTAAAGAAATGCTGGAAATGTGTGTTCCTAGAAAAACTTTTTTTTCTGCATCGGCTACGTGATTTCTAACACAGTGCATGTCAATCTAATGTCAATGTGATTGCACGTCCACCAGGTACTGACTTTCTAAAGTGATTCCTCTGCGGATGCCATAGTCCTGGGCTGCGTACGGAGAGGGTGAGGGAAGCCCTGTGCACAGGCGACATGGTCTGGATAATCTCCCGCCCGTGAGCAGCGCCCACTCTTTCAGAAACAATTGCAAATGACCTGATTGAGCGAGAGAACACAAGCCAAGGGACCTGGAAAGCTATGAAAAACGCCATGTCTGGCTGAGCCCGCGGGGGTGTCCTTGGTTGGATGCACCGACCACAACGGCTGTGACATTATGGTTCAAAGGCCGATGTGGACACCAGCATGGGGGCGGGGGCATGGCAGGCGGATGGGAAATGGGTGTGACTGCCTCCTAGAGGCCTCCCAGAGACATGCCGGGCTGTGCTGGGCTTTGGGCTCAGGAAACAAGAATAACAGGGAGTTTTCCTGGTTCTTGATTTCTCATGCATCTTGGCTTAAAGTTAGGTGAGAGCCAACTTTTAATCAAACGCGGTAAGCTTGGTGGTGGCGGCATTCAAAAAGAAAGAACGGACAGGCTTGCCGGAAGCGAGGCACACACCCGTGGCCAGGAGAGCGTGGAGCTGACACGTGACTCTCCCACCCCTTCTCCTTTCTCTGCTTCAGAAACCGGCCTGTGGCTTTAGCTCAGCCCTCCCAAGCCAGACCTAAGCGCAGGCATTGCAAGGCAGCACACTGAGCCGCTCATTTGCAGCTTATTGGCCTGTGTGAGCACTGTGCCAATACATGTACGTGAAAACCAGGGGGCCGAGAATGTCCCGAGAGCTCAGGCAGCTGTCGGTTGCCGGGCCAGACAGTCTCTCAAGGCACTCAGCAGCGTTCACGATCAGCAGGGGCACCCTCCTCTTCCAGGTTCCTTGTGGGATCCGGTATGCGATGGGCACCAAAGAAGTCCATCTGCCCGCGTGGGCACAGTTCTCTGTGATTCCTCGACTTCCTCCACCTGCCGGATGCTGCCCTCTGTGACGTTCATGGTGACTTCTTTTGCAGGCATTCGCTTAGCAGCTCATTTAGCCTGTTAAAAAGTGTAGCACAGTGGATTGAGTTACTGGGAGATCGCCAAAGTCCTCACATTGCATCCGTCTCCCGAGAGGGGTACACACACACACACACACACACACATGCACGCACGCACGCACGCACACACACACACACACACACGCACGCACACGCACGCACACACACACAGACACACGCACGCACACACAGAGGCAGGAAGCATGGCCCCCGAGAACACATGCACGTGTGCTCCTCCTCACAGGCTTCTCTGGGGAACCTCTCACACCAGAGCCTGGCACGGGGCGTGCTCAGTAAAACATTGCGGACTGAATGAATGAATAAGCTAAGGTCCATCACAGGGTAACGTGAAAGGTTTCACAGTTGGTTTCAGTATAGTAGTTAAGGGTTTGAGCTTTGGAGTCAGACAGACTTTGGCTAAAATCCTGACTATATAGTTTCACAATGGACAAGTTTCTCCTAACATCTCTAACCTGTAGTTTCCTCACCTGTAAAACAGGGAATAATAATAGTACCTTTCACAGAAGGCTATTATAAGGGTTAAATAAGAGGATGCATGTACGGTGCTTAGGCCATGCCTGTAGCTGAATAAAAATGAAAAAAAAAAGACTTAGTAAGTATAATAAGTAAAAAATAGGACAGCGTATCCCCTTCTAAGTGAAGATACCCCAAGGATAAAACTCCAGACTTCATATTAAATACTAAAGCGTTGACTAAACTGTAAGTTCTTCAACCATATGCACCACCGCACCCTCCTTCCAGAGAAAACAACTCTAACTAGTGAGGGGCATCTGTGCCCATCCCACTCACAGTGCCCATCCCACTTACTGTGCCCATCCCACTCACAGTGCCCATCCCACTTACTGTGCCCATCCCACTCACAGTGCCCATCCCACTCACTGTGCCCATCCCACTCACTGTGCCCATCCTGCTCACTGGCCATGCGCTTGGAGCGAGTGTGAGATGCGCCCTATGAGTGTCTTCATCGAGGGCGGACAGAGACGTGCCACCAATCCCAACCCAGGAAGGACCTGCTGTCCAGCTGCAGGGAATACAGCCAGCAAGGAGCCTCCGGTTGTCCCTCCAGAGTGGCCTCAGCTGCAGAGCCACCTCACCCAGGGCCTTGCCCTTCCCAGGGTGGACCAAGGAGCGGGGTGAAGGCAGGCGTACAGAAGCCTGGCTATTTGGCCCAGAGCAGGCCAGCTCCAACAGACCGTTTATCTGCAGAGCTGCACATGGGGTGGGGTCGGTGGGGTCGGCCGAGGCTGTCCTCAGGTCTGCGTTGTGGCTCAGCTTCCCCCTCTGCCCGCTCCTGCTTCCAGCCCTCCCTCCCACGGTGCTGGCAGGGAGCTTCCTGGTGAACAACCTGTCTAATATCATCTCAGAGTCTGCTTCCTGGGAAACTCAGTCAGGCTCTGCTCTGCACGAGCATCTCCCCGTGCGGGTGGGAGTTACTGACGACAAACGCATATTGATTATGCGATTCGGCCCCTGCACGCAAGGCAACTCCTTCATCTGCAGTGCTTCCAAAGAAATGGTGGGCTGTGCATCCCTGGAGAGAAAGAAATCGCTCTGTTGTCTTTATTAACAGATGACGTGCAGGCTTCTATCCTGTCACACAGACCCTGCGCGGTAGCTGCTGGTGATGGCCCTCTCAGAGTCCCTTGACGCGGCTGGTCCATCCATCCCCCGGCTGCTGTGAGTTTCTGCTGTTAACTGCTCACAGCAGCGCCCTTCTTTTGAGAACTGCCTGCATCTGATTGGAGTCACTTCGCTAGAGATGCCCAAGAGGTTTCACCCGAATTCCTGGAGACAGCCCCAAGCCAATGCCTGATTGTAGGGGACAGAAAAGGCTGCCCCCGTTGCCTCAAGGGGTCTACATCTCTGATGCCACTCATGCTCCGGAGTTCCCGTGGGATCAGGCGGAGGCTGCACTGTAGTCGTTCAGCTGGGCTGATGTGTTTGCTGAACCTGGTCCTCGGCCCCACCCGGCTTCCCCGCTTTGTCTGGTTTCACCTGAGACTTTCCATCACTTGCAAGAGAATCCTGATCGCAGGCCCTGCTTCTAAGGAACCTGACCTAAGGTCATACTCTATAGGTGATTAAAAAAAGTTTTTTTTATTGATTTCAGAGAGGAAGGGAGAGGGAGAGAGAGATAAAAACATCAATGATGAGAGAGAATCATTGATCAGCTGCCTCCTGGACACCCACCACTGGGGATTGAGCCTGCAACCTGGGCATGTGCCCTGACTGGGAATTGAACTGTGACCTCCTGGTTCATAGATCGACGCTCAACCACTGAGCCACACCTGCCGGGCTAGGTGATTTGAGGGATATTTAAGGATAATTTTGACTACATGCAATTTTAGCCTGATCCATTGACTGCATGAGAAAGGATTTCACTGTTTTTCCTCTTCACGCTCCCAGGGCCCAGCTCAGTCTGAGACATAGTAGACTCTCTGTTTAACTCTGGCTGAGTACATGGATGAAGGGACGCACAAGCACCGCATTCGTCCGTGCCCCCTTGCTTTAACACCCGTGGTCAGTGCTATCTAAGGATTCAGTCTACACTCAGCTCTTTCACGCCTGACCTGGCACCAGGGCCAGCAGTGCTGCCTATGGATTTATTTTTCCCTAAAAGCAGAAAAGTCATAAAGTCCCACAACCAAACTTGTTTCCTAAAGAAAAGTGTGGCAATTATGAGGGTAATTCCATCTGAGTTCAGGTGTTCTCGCATAGAAGCGTTGAGGACTGGGCGTGGCATAGAGACACAGAGGCCTTATTGAAATGGGCCAAGTTGACGGCAGCCTTCCCCTAAACTGGTGGGCAGTACGAGAGCTTTCCAGAATGGAAATGTAAATTTTCTGAACGGCCTAACTGCTTTCCTTCGAGTTGTTGGCAAGATTTCATGAACGGTTATTAAAGATTATACACAGAAAATGTTCTGCTCTATATTTCAGTCTGTTTTTCTAAGCTTAAATATCCAAGCAAATATTCAGTAGTTGGTTGATTCTTAATTTCCCAACCTGTTTAAGTAAAGAGTCAGAGGCTATGAAATAGTCATTCCCAGAACAGCCAGAGAATATGTGTGGTGTGAACCTCAGGTACAACGGGGCAATTTCTTAAATCTGTACATCAAAAGCCTATTCACAGGACAAGTTTTGGGGCAGACAGACCTAGATTTAGCACAAGGCTTTGCCACCCATCCCTTTGCCGTCACAAGCCCTGCTGCTCTAATCTTTGAAACTCAGTCAGTCCCCTTCCCTGAAATTGGGGAAATAATGCTCGCTTCTTAGTTTTTTCTGAGAGAATTATGCATGTGACTTAGCACTAATAGGGTGACCAACTTCTCCCGGTTTACCCAAGACTGACCTGTTTTAAACAGAAAGTCCCAGGCCCTGGTCAGGTAGCTAAGTTTTTTGGAGCAAGGTCCCGTACACCAAAAGGTTTCGGGTTTGATTCCTGGTCAGGGCACATACCTAGGTTGTGGATTTGATCCTGAGTTAGAGCGTGTATTGGGAGGCAACCAATCGATGTTTCTCTCACATTGGTGTTTCCCTCCCTCCCTCCTTCCCTCTCTCCCTTTCTCTCTCTCTGGAAATCAGTAAGAACATATCCTTGGGTGAGAATTAAAAATACTGAAAGTCCCACATTCTGGGAGCCTCCCCAGGACAGTGAATCACCCCAATGACAGCCATCAACATTAATTATACTCGCAAAAGGATGTCAGTCAAACAGACCAAATTTATGTAGAAAACTCTAATTCTTCTGAAACTATGACTATTGCTGCTACTACTTTTTCCTCTTTTGTGTGTGTGTGTGTGTGTGTGTGTGTGTTAATCTTCACCCAAGGATATTTTCCCATTGATTTTCAGAAAGAGTGGAAGGGAAGGGGAGAGACAGAGAGAGAAACATCGATGTGAGAGAGACACAACTACTACTACTTTTAAATAACATCAATAATCGCAACTCTCTATAAGACATGCACTTGGACCAAGGACCAACTGGAGTTATGTCTTCCAGTGATGGGCACAGAAGGTTCCATGCCACAAGCAAACCCATTTTCAAATGATGACAGTGTATTGCCTTTAGAAAATCAAACACCTGGAATGACAATGCGTTCTCTCGGAAGCATTTTATAAAGGAGAAGCTTTCACGTCTGAGGCCTCAGGGGGAAGGTGCCCACCCCTTTAACAGCAGCTCCCCTATTCAGGGGTCGGTCGTCACTGCAATGTAGTTACAACCTGGACACCTCAGGTTTCAAGCCCAAATGAGAGCGAGAAAGAAGACGAGAAGGGAACTACAACGCCAGATTATTGTCTCTAGAAGTTCCGAGAAGTAAGGTGCTTTGCCTTCCTATGAGAAAAAAGCAATACAGATACACGAAATAATTATACCACTTTTGTTCCTCCGGGTCTATGGCATTTTGTATATCACATATGTTTTCCCCTCTGATGTGGTTTCCAACCAGCCAAACCTTCTTATGTAACATCCCACCCTCTTGACTTAATGACAGGAAAAGAAAACGTGTCCTTATTGTAATTACTGGCTTAAAAAAAATCTGATGGTTCACAACTCAATGATGACAGGAGCCTATTTGGCACCTTTAGCCTTTTCAGCCGTCTGCTAATTCAATCCTTCTTCCACTTCTAAAATTCTTATTTTGTGAGTTTCAGCACCACTGACTCTTGTTAATGGGCCACCTCCTGTTTCTCGCCCAGTTTCACAGCTTTTCCATTCTTCCCTGGCCTCATTTTGATTTCTGCAGGTTTGGTCCTCTGTGAATCATTGATTTCAGGCCTCTTAATCCTGCCTCTTTAATGAAGAGTAATTCATGGGCTGAGGTTTCTCAAGGGGAACCAGATTGACTGTGATATCTTCTCTGTAGCCTCAAACCCAGATGGACTGCTTTCCTAGGGGTTTGAAGTCAAGGCCCCAGCTCATTCGGGTGGAAGTGGGGGTGGCCTGGCTGCTCCGGGGAGGCCTGGACTCAAGACT